ACCGTCTTTGTTAACATGTCTGTTGGATTCTTACTTCCTGGAATCTTTTCCAGTTTTAACACGTCATCTTCCAACAGGGATCTGATGAAGTGGTACCGAAGCGCAATATGCTTCGTTCTAGAATGAAATGCGGAATTCTTCGCCAAGTGTATCGCACTCTGGCTATCACTGTGCAAAACATTCTTCTCCTGTTTGAATCCCAGCTCTGTCAACAAACCCTGAAGCCATATCATCTCTTTACTGGCTTCAGTCACTGCAACGTACTCAGCTTCTGTAGTGGATAGGGTAACAATCTTCTGTACCTGTGACATCCAACTAACAGTTGTAGTTTCAACGGTGAATACATAGCCGGTGGTGCTTCTTCGATGATCAACTTCACCGCCGAAGTCTGCATCTACGTACCCTTGCACTTCTACTTCTCCCTTACCAAAGTACAGACACTTCTGTGTGGTGCCTCGTAGATATCTCAGAATCCACTTGACCGCTTCCCAATGAGCTTTTCCTGGATTCGACATAAACCGGCTGACCACTCCCACTGCATGGCCAATGTCTGATCTCTTACAGACCATTGCGTACATCAAACTTCTGATAGCTGAGGCGTAAGGCAAGCTTCCGATAGCTGAGGCGTAAGGTACCTGAGCCATACTCTCTTTCTCTTCTTCTGACTGAGGAGACTGATCCTTCGATAGACGAAAATGGTTGGCCAAATGTGTGCTCACAGGCTTGGCGTCGCCCATGTTGAATCTCTACAAAACACGGTTGATGTACTCCGTCTGAGATAACTGCAAGAGACCTCTCTTCTTATCTCTCGTGATTTGCATTCCAAGGATCTTCTTCGCTGGACCCAAGTCCTTCATGTCAAACTCCTTTGACAGCTGCTGCTTCAAGCTTCTGATATCCTCCATATCTGCTCCTGCAACCAACATATCATCAACATACAGCAGTAGGATGATATAGCTGGACTGATATCTTTTGAAGTAGCAACAGTGGTCGGCGTTGCACTTCTGAAAACCTTCCTTGTGCATGAAGCCATCAAACTTCTTGTACCACTGCCTTGGGGCTTGTTTCAGGCCATACAAGCTCTTCTTGAGTCTGCACACCAGGTTCTTCTTCTTTTCTTCTGAGAAACCTTCTGGTTGATGCATGTATATCTCCTCTTCTAAATCTCCGTGAAGAAACGCCGTCTTCACGTCTAACTGCTCGAGATGAAGATCTTCAATTGCTACAATACTCATCACGGTCCTGATAGTATTTAGCTTCACCACGGGAGCGAAAATATCGGTGTAGTCAATTCCTTCCTTCTGCTGGAAACCTTTGACAACCAGTCGGGCTTTATATCTTCTGGAACCATCCTGCTCCTCTTTCACCCGGTACACCCATTTGTTGTGGAGTGCCTTCTTACCCGTGGGCAACTCAGCTAGTTCCCACGTCTGGTTTGATATGAGAGACTTCATCTCATCTTTCATTGCAAGCTCCCACTTGCTCGCATCTCCACACTGACAAGCTTCATCAAAGCTTTCAGGCTCCCCACCATCTGTCAACAACAGATAGTTCATGTATCTCCTGTTGGGTACAGGAGGACGAGAAGATCTTCTTAATATCGGAGCTGGTGCGTCGGGCTCCTGCGCACCATCTTGTCCAACAGGCTCTTCTTGCTGAGGACCCTCTGCATTGGGTTCTTCCGAGAGGTTACTCGGGACATCATCTGCATCTATAAATGTGGACTCGCTCTCTGAGTCGTCAGTCTTGTGCATGTCCTTGTACATCACCTTCTCGTTGAATATCACATCTCTGCTCCGGATCACCTTCTTGTTTTCGTTGTCCCAAATGCGGTAGCCGAACTCATCTTCACCATAGCCGATGAAAGTGCATTTCTTTGACTTAGGATCAAGCTTATTCCTGCCTTGATCACTAATATGCACGTAAGCTACACAACCGAAAACTTTAAGATGTGAGAGTTTTACCTCCTTTCCGCACCATACCTCCTCTGGTATTCTGTGCTCCAATGGAACCGATGGACCTCGGTTGATCAAGTAAGCTGCTGTGTTGACCGCTTCTGCCCAGAACTGCTTCGGTAGGCCTGATTGTACTCGAATGCTTCTGGCTCTCTCTGTCAACGTTCGGTTCATCCGCTCAGCTACACCATTTTGCTGAGGCGTGCCGGGCACGGTTCTCTCCATTCTGATCCCGTGCTCATAGCAGAACTTCTTGAATCCGGTGTCTTCATACTCACCGCCATTGTCGGTCCTGAGCTTCTTTATTCTCAGACCGGTCTCATTCTCGACCATAGCTTTCCATCTCCTGAAAGCTTCAAATACTTCTGACTTATGCTTCAGAAAGTAGACCCACACTTTCCGAGAGTGATCATCGATAAAAGTCACGAAGTAGTGTTTTCCACCAATGGACGCGGTGGTTGTTGGTCCCCAAACATCTGAGTGAACGAGCTCTAGCTTCTGCTTCCTGGGGGTTCTGCCACTTGTCTGAAAGCTGACTCTCTTCTGCTTTCCAAGTATACATTCTTCACACATATCCATCTCCACTGACTGCAGTCCTGGGAGTTTTCCCTTTGTGTGCATAATCTTCATCCCCTTTTCACTCATATGACCGAGTCTCTGGTGCCACAGCTTTGAAGTCTCATTGCCTGCTGCAACTGAGATCAAACAACGTGCACCTGCTGTCATATACAGGGTACCAGTCTTCTTGCCTCGGGCAATCGTCATTGCGCCCTTTGAGATCTTCCAATCATCTCCATGGAAGGTTGTGGTGTATCCTTCGCCAGCCAACTGGCCTACGGATATTAAATTCTTTCTCAGGTCGGGAATATGCCTGACATCCTTCAGCTCCCATACTGACCCGTTCAACTTAATTTTCACCACGCCTTTGCCCACAATAGCACATGGTTGATCATCACCAAGATATACGTATCCAAGATTTCCGGGGGTATACTTCTCGAAGAATTCTTTCTGAGAGGTAGCATGGAACGACGCTCCTGAATCTAACACCCAAGATTCCTCCTTGCTCTCCAAAGAGCATATCAATGCGTCGTCTCCTCCTGAAGTGGAGGTGACATTCACCTCTGCCTTCGCCTCCTTCTCCTTCTGTGCACTCTTGCACTGATTCTTGTAATGCCCGGTCTTTCCACAATTCCAACACTCGATAGCCTTCGAGCTGTTGCTTGGATTCCTTGATTTGGACCTCCTGTCCTTTGATCTACCTCTGAAGTTTGATTTTCCTCGTCCGTTTCCTCTGGTTGAATTTCTACCTCTTGACTCTGTATGCAATACTGAAGAGGTTGTAGCTTCACCAGTCTCTCGCCGTCGGATCTCCTCACTGAGAACCAAATCACGAACGTCGCCGAACTTCAACTTTTTCTTTCCCGATGAGCTACTCACTGCCGTGACTGTAGCGTTCCAACTCTCTGGTAGGGAAGACAACAATATCAACGCCCGAACTTCTTCATCAAACTCAATCTCAACTGAACTCAATTGGGTTGTAACCGTATTAAGTTCATTGAGGTGTTGTGCTACTGACGCGCCTTCCGCCATTTTCAGATTGAATAACCGCCGCATCAAATGAACTTTGTTCGCGGCTGATGTCTTCTCATACATGTTTGAGAGTGCTGCCATAAGACCTGTCATGGTCTTCTCCTTCGCTATGTTGAACGCAACATTGCGAGTCAACGTCAATCTGATAACTCTGAGGGCTTGTCTATCTAGAAGGTTCCACTCTTCTTCCTTCATAGAATCCGGCTTCTTTCCCGATAGTGGTTGATACAGATTTTTCTGATACAGATAATCCTCTATCTGTATTTTCCAGAATCCGAAATATGTTCCATCAAACTTCTTAAGTCTTATTTTCCCTTCATCTGCGGCCATGGCTCCCACTTGAATCTGACTTCCTCTAGATCGTTTCACGCTCTGATACCAGTTGTTGGGAATTTAACGCCGAAATCTCTAATGCAACGAAAACGCAGAATAGAAAAAAGAGTACACCAAGTTTTAACGAGGTTCGGCAACTGCCTACGTCCTCGGAAGCCACACAATTAATTTCTTATTAATCTAACAAGAAATTATAAATCAAGAGCAAATCCCTAAACTGAGATTTCTCAAATGAACAATGTAGCTACAGTGTTAATAGTTAAAGGGAATAAACCCTTTCAATTATCTCTTGAGAATAAATAAAACCCCACAATATAAAACCCATCTTTTATACTCTCTCTCCTTAATCCTTTTCTTAATCTCCCCTCAAAGTAACAATGAGAGCTGGAGATATAAGATCACTGTTGTGATTTAAAAAGGGGGGGCCGAAGTGGGTTGAAGGAAAAACGCGTCTGCGTTTTTTTTTTATCGCCGCCAGAGAGAAATCGGGGGAGAGAAGCTCGCTAAAACCCTAGGAAGCGGAGAGGGGGTTTTATAGGCGGGCTGGCGACAGCCTGTCGCCAGCGCTCAAACTGGACGCGAGCGTCACCAATGACGCGGAGGTCGGCATCTCCCAAACGCGCGGGTCGTCGAGCTTGGACGCGATGGTCGTCGAGCTTCTGAACGCGAGGGTCGTCGAGCTGCTGGACGCGAGGGTCAGGTGGGCGTTCGCAGCGGATCTCGAGCTCGCCTGGGACTATCCCTCCAGCTTCGCCTGCGCCATCCTCGAGCTCGTCGGAGCTCCCCGCCGGCGGAGGTTGGTTTCCACCCCCAAATCTAACAGAATTCACATCCCTTTGATGATTGGTGACAGTCTTATTAGAGAAGAGGAAAACAAATTCAGCTTATTAATCTCTCTCTCACTTGAAAGTTTCTTTGATCAGTTCGTTGCTTCTTAGTCAGCCCATTGCATCTACAGTGCTTTGCGTATTTTTTAATTCTTTTTGACATTAGAGTTTGACATGAAAGCAGGGTCACCCCAATTAAGCATAAAACCCTAAACCTTAGTAGAATCTTAGAAAGCAATGGAGACTCTCCAAGAGACAAAAAAGATGTGGAGTACTTAAGAGAGAAAATTCTTACTTTAGGGTTCTCCAAAAGTTCTTCCATCAGAAATCCTAGTTAAAGGATTCATGAGCACTGGTTGAGGTCCTTCAAGGCTCTGAGTTCAACGACCCCCTTTGCTCTTGAAAAAGAATTATAAAAAGGGGAATCAATCAAATCTATTGCTCTATTATTTATACTACAGTAAAAACGATACAGTAAATTAATATAGCATTATTACTGTAACACATACAAGAACTGTGGCGTTTTAGAAAATATAATTGTGTCATTATCACTGTTGCACATAAGGGATACCGAGCATTTAAAAAATATTACTGTAGGACCTAAAAGAACATTTTAAAATAGAATTACTGTAACGGAAATAAAAAAATAAAGATCGTGTTTTGCACGGGATGCACATTAGTAGAACTCTATTTGAAATTAAAATATTCTACAATTGAGACAAGCATGCTTTTGTCCCAATACTCAGGTTGAATATGAAGGCCGATCCCAATAGTAGAAAGTTTCAACAAAGCCTAAATAAACTGGGCCAAGTCCACAAGTAAAATATTACAAGAGCATTTCGATTCGGCACACCCAATTCATTGCAGCAGCATACTTAGAAAGATATCAGACTTGTGTTTGTATATATATATAGCTAAAACATTCTTTAGTTACAAGAAGAGATTGTGAACAGACTTGTGTTTGTATATATATAGCTAAAACATTCTTTAGTTACAAGAAGAGATTGTGAACATTCACCCTTCAATTGACAACATCTCTTACATCCAAATTATAAGTTAATGTGCCTAAGAACAAAAATCAAATAATTTACTGCAAAAGGAAATTAACAGGTTGAGGGGATACATGGTTTAGGGCATAAGAATCGCCAATCGAAACCTCAGTCATAGACTCATAATGTAATATTTTGAAAATAATCAACAGATTATCGCGAATTCAAAACATCCTATACCATCAAGCTAGTCAACTTGATCCATTTTGTGGCAACTTGGTACATGATCAGTGAACTCGTTTAACTTTATGTTTTTTGCCACTTTATGCGCTCTATTGTTCTAATCAAGCTATAATTTAAACTCCATCGTAAACTTATCAGATTTTAGTGGGATGACTAGCTGCCAAATGCATCCAAGAGGACTCAACAACTCAGGCCTGTACAAGATATTGAAAAACACATGCAACTCAGTCAACTACTTCTTGCTAATCGCAAGTAATGTCTTAAATAAGGAGAGAGAGGAAAACTGGGTAGAGATGTACAATTGCATGTCGATAGATGATCGATCGATGAACAAAATGAGCTCCATGTATGTGGTCTGTAAGGGAAGATCGCATGTTCGGCTATCATGAAATTAAAGTATATGATCAGGTATTGATCATGTGAATTCCGAAGCAAAAGGACCGACTATTTGTTTGCAGTTCCCAATCCATACTGCACCCTGTCGTGTTTTCCCTACTGCTACATGGTTATTACCAAAGATCATATGGTTTGTGTACATGACATCCTTGTACTGCATTATACACTTGACAACAACGTACCATGCTATATATAACATCTAATTCTAAGGCTTTCTCCAGAAAATTGTCAATTTTTGGTTGTCGTTGCTTGTCCTTTAGAAAAAAGGAGCAAGATTTTATCATCTAGAGCTTGAATATTCACCATTTGTATGAGCAATATATATGAAATGCACTTCTTTGACATTTGTATTCCAAGGACCCGGAAAACCACACTTTTGTTAGCTTGACTCGGTCATGGATGACCAAATCAACCACGGTTTCTCAGTAGAGGGAATCGTGGATAACGTGAATTGGGGTTTGTTGAGAGATTTTCTCACAGAGGCAGTTTGAGGGGGGTGGAGATGATGGGATTTCGGCCTATAAATAAAGGAGTAATCTCCTTTCATGGATTTTGCACCCCAGCCCATCAAAGAGAGGGAATCCTATGTAAATGCAGTAGTTCACAAACATGCGCTCCACGTACGATTGGTTCATTCATTCTTTTTTTTTTCTGGGATATGTTATAAAGGCTCCAATGCATTGCAGGAAACTATAACCAATAGCGCATTTAAATTGACTCCAACTATTTCTAATTCTAAAAAAAATGCAGCAATTCATTGAGGAGCAACTTGATAAAATAAAGAATTATGTAGAGAATAGGGAACGTCGTAAGGATCGAGCATTTTCGCAGGTCAAGGCATAAAACCCTGAGCTTAGTAGAAGTCTAAGAACGCAATTAATGGAGATTCTTACCTTGGGATTTTCCAAATTTCTCGAGTTCAGAAGCCCTAGACTGAGGATCAGTGAGCCCATAAAGTTTGAGTTCAAATAACCGCCTTCGAACAGATTAATTATAGAATTGGAAAGTTTCCCAGAGTTGACTCAAGTTGCTTTTTAGGCCCAAACCTCGGGTCAGAATAAGTTTTATGGCCCAGCCCATCAACAGAAAGGTCTACCGAAGCCCAACCGTCCTTCGTATGAGACTTGTTTTTAAACAGCCAAGATAATCTTTAATTACGTACAAGAGATTTTGCCTTTCGGTAAATTAACCTGCTTGTATGTATATAGTTAGACTAAGAGGCTGCTTGGGGAGGCTTGTTTTTTCAAGCTTTTAAGCTACGTTCGCTTTTGATGGCTTTTGACTTTTATAATAAACTTTGCTTAAGCATTGTTTAGGTAAAATAGTAATTTGTTTGGTCAAACCAAGCTTGTTTGGGTGAGCTTAGAAGTTTATTTTTCAAAAGCTAGGGTGGATTAGCATTTAAAAATGAGACTTAATTATAAGCTAACTTATTTCGTACTATACCAAACAGATAGATATGAAAAAAAGCTAGCTCAAAAGCTAGTTTGACAAAATAATAATAATAATAATAACAAGCCTCTCCAAACAGTACTCTCTAAGGATGTAATCATACTGAACATTCATCTTCCAAATGATAAATAGCGTGTGTGTGTGTATCTGTTTTGTTTAAATTTTTGTTCTAATGTCCAACAATTATATATATCAAAAAGACCATTTTTACGATATATTGTCATTGTCATGTATCTGATTTTGTGTGAATGAGACCATATCAAAAAGCAATCCGACACCTTTGCACTTGTCCTGACAAAAATCAGGGTTGAAGAGCTTCAAGGGAGATAATGGAGTTGAAACAAAGACAGGTAAGGATGTATCTTGAGGAGATAAGGATAAAAATAATAAGTTCAAAAAGGAGTAGTGGATATGGTGGTGGTCAGCTTGAATTTTTCTATCAACAAACAAGATGAGGCATTAGATGATCAGTAGATTAGCACAGTGATTCGATCACATCAAGTCTACGCGTTGACGCAATTTACATACTTGATTTGGGTGATGTGCCCTTTGTATATTTTGAAATTTAAAAGCAGTTTAGGACACATATTAATGGTTTGCAAGTATTGAAGGAAGTTTAATTTTTCTCATTAATCGTTTGCAAGTATATATAGAAGGAAGTTTCTTCTCCCCTCGGAATTAAATCTAAGATCGTGAGAGTGATATTGGAAATCTTTCAAAAGTCTCCATTATCACGGTGGGTCAAGATTACTTGTTAGTTGCGTCTTTAAGAAATATGAGTGTATCGTAGTTGATGAATGAGCTAGTTAGGAAGAAAAGTTTTCATTTTGCAGATATGGTGGGAGTGGCGTGGGGAGGGGTGTGTGGGTGGTATATATATATATATAGATAAAATATATATATATATATTACTATAATATATATATATTATTTATATATATATATATATATATAAGTAATATAGTATATATATATATATATATATTGATTATTATTATAAAGTATATATATATAATATATATAAAGAGAGAGAGATGGAGGAAATGGTATGCCTTGGTACCAAGCACAAAAATTTATGCTTGATAATGAGGTGGTATATTATCATCCAACCATCTCAAATAGGGGACAACATTCACATGGGTTGAATGTGTCCCCCACAATTGAATGAGTGGATGGGAATGAGACATCTTACTATCAGCACAAAATTTTATATATTGATACCAAGCATACCATTTTCTCATATATATATATAATATATATAATATATATATATAATCTATATATATATATATATATATATATATATATAGAGAAGGAGAGAGAGAGAAAACGGGAGGTGAGCTGGCAGCGTAGGAAATTTCCTGCGCTGCAAGTGTATGACATGTGAGCCCCCTACTAGTCACATCGGTGTGGGGCTCACATGTCATACACTTGCAGCTCATGGGGAGAGGTGAGCTGCCAGCTCACCTCCATTATTCTCATATATATATATATATATATATATGAAAGCAGTACATACCTTTCTACGAAGAAAGAGTTATGGAAAAGAAAAAAGAAATCCGGGTACGTAGGAAAATAAATATACAAGAAGGGCACGAAACCACGTGCGAGTGAGCTTACAATCAAAGATGGTGATGATTAATAGGTACACCGTAGGTATAGGCTTACAACCTTGAGCATGACTGTGGTCTAAGACTCTAGTGTAAGTATGTGACACGCATGATGATGCTAGAAAACCTTAGCATTCCCCTCATCTTCCATTGGCTAAAACCACTCAGACAAATAAAATACCCAAGGCCCCACCGGCCATGTGATTGATTGCAACAATGGCAAGCACCTTAAAAAATTCATAATTAACTCCCTACGTTGTCAATTGAGTCATTATCACTCGCTCTCAAGACACACTTATCAGCACGCGCAATCACATGTACTCTTTAGAAAAAAAAAAAAAAGAACAAAACATGTATTCACCAATTGAGTTAAAATGCCTCCAAAATTATGTGTGTTTGCAGATGTGAGGTTGTCGTTGAGGGATTCGGATACTCTCCACTACAAAAAAAATAGTGAATGGACCACTACATAATCACAGCTATTGATTATCTAGTTGATGGTTATGATTTTTTTTTAGTGCAAATTAGGAATGAGTGCAATACACGGGGGTATGGTAAGTGTTAGATTTAGATTGTATTATAATCGCCTACTAAATAATCAACGCTTGAGATTAAAAGTAGTGGTCTCTCCACTACTTTTTTGTAGTGGAGAGGATCCAAATCCGTCGTTGAGTACAAGTACTTGAAAATATAAATAGCAAGTGCATTTATACTATTATATACTTTCAAATTCATGTTGCTTGCTCACTCTTCAATTTTAGCACAATAAGTCTTTCAATTTAAAATCGTTTTTTTTTCCTTTTGCAAAAACACTCTGAGTTAAAACAATATCTAACCAAATACAAGTGTTGAAATTTGGATGCGCTGAAAAACATGAAACCCTAGAATAGAGTATAAAAAAAATGAAGCATTCCAGTTTTTCCCCTTCTATCTACTGATTGTATGATTCTTAAAGTTCATTAGGATTATATTTTTATATTCTAACATTTCCCTGCAGATTGATGCCCTTTTTTAAATTTGAACTCACACAACGATGTTAATGTTTAGAAAATTGCTTTAAATTCATGGCTGGTAAGATTTTAACCTGTATTGATCTGATACTATCTTCAAATCCCTAACCATTTCAGTATAACTTTGAAGTTGTGATGATGGTTAAGACTTATATTTTAATTATATTCTAACACTGCATCAATTTCTAACCGTAGGTGATATTTTTTTTACATATCTGAAAATTTACAGTACTATTTTACTATTTTCTCTAATAAAAAATGAATTAAATGAGTTGAGTGAGGGGGGGGGGGGGGTGCAGCGAGAGGAGAAGACGCAGTAGAAGGTTGTGACTATATGGTTGTGGGACGAGGAGACATATATAATGGAGGCTACACGGGAGCAACCACAAACCAAAATGGGTTGAATGCCCCCAGTATACTTTGTCCCCTCGTCTGTTTACTCTCTCCCACTTCTCTGACAAATGCGACTGAAAACTTGTAGTTGGATGTATATGTATGTAATAATTAGCACTGAGTGAGTGTCTAATCATCAGGAGTGGTTGTGGAATAATTTCCTATAACTTTTAGAGTCACACTAGGGGCACACCCTTAACCATATTCCCAACCACACCCCCACGCTCTTTATAGTGCTAGTGGACCATACATGATATTTTTTTAAAAATATCATGCATGACCCACTAGCACTATAGAAAAAGTGGGGATGTGGTTGAGAGTGTGAGGGAGGGTATGCCCCTAGCATTACTTTAACTTTTAAATATGCTATTTTGCATTTAATTTAATTAATGATAACAATTTGCTGAGGTTCCCCGTGCATTGATGGAATGTCATCTAGAGTTTTTATATCCGCATAAGAAGTTATCAGTAAGACTCTCTAAACCTCCTCATGTCCTTGCTTAATTCCTTTTTACAAACTATTGCTAAAACTTGTTGACATATTAGTGACGTGGAGGGTGTCCAAATTGTTGGATAGCAGGTTATTGGGCCAAACATGATTCCTAGTCTGTTTTGGTTTTGGTTTTAGAATTATTGGGATTACTAGTCTGTTTTGGTTTTGGTTTTGGTTTTAGAATTGTTGGATTCCTAGTCTGTTTTGATTTTAGGGGTTTTATATATATAGAACGTTTTAGAAGAGATTTGTAGAGAGGGAAAAGAGAGTCTTTTGAGCACTTTGAGAGGGATATTATTGTGAGAGAGTTAGATATTGTTGGTTATGGTTATTTTGAGTGTTTGAGAGAGTTGTAACCCATTGTATTTCTCATCCATATAGTGAAATCTCCACATTCTCTCTCGTGGACGTAGGCAACTTGACGAACCACGTCTGTGTTTGTGATTGGTTTGTGTCGTTCTTTTGTGAATTGTACTCGTTGGTTGTTCTCCTCCCGTTGCTCACCGACTCGTGTTGATTCGTGCGCCCACTTCCGCCATGCAACAATTGATATCAGAGCTCTAGGGTTTCAGACCTAGGGTTTGTTTTGGGTGGAGGAAAATTCGTTGTTGGAAGCTTGGATCTTAGAGATCTAGGCTTCGGTGGAGATAGCATTGCGAAGTTGCCAGTTTGAGATCTTACCTTCCTTGTGTGGTTAGGAGTTCGTGTGGGAATCCAATCTAGGGTTCAAGTTGGTTAATTTCTCAATTCTATCAATTGTTCAAATTTTCTCTATAATTTGGAGTTAGCAATCAATGGCAGGAGATAGTGGTGAAAGCAGCAAGGCTACGGACGCTTTAAATGCTCAGAACTTCGAGGAGACCATCATGGTCCATGAGAGGCCACCGAAGTATGATGAGGCGATATGTGACAAGATGAATCGAAATGCTTGTGGGGTAATATGACCTTGTTTGGAACAGGAGTTGAAGTACGATGTGATCGATATGACATCTGCGATGAAGATGCGGGAGATTCTCAACAA